CTTCACCCAAGTTCAACCAGGAACACTGGGAGTGCCTAAGAACCTATTTCGAGGGGGCCACAGGCTACCAGTCATCCCACCCCCAGGCTCTGAATAATCCACGCCTCAGGCCAGCAGTCCCCTGAGCCCAAAATACAGGGTCCCTTTGGAGGCCCAGATCCCCATCTCCTTGTGAACACAGTCCTCCTTAAGGATACAGTCCAAGGTTTGAGGGGTCACAGGAACTTTCTCCACTCAGCTTGAGTCAGTTGTGCTAGACTAGATTCAGGAAACCTCTGTCCAGGTCAGATCCAGACCCGGGGAGCTGGGCTTCTTTCCCATACCCTTCTCTCTCCTGGCAACCCCTGACCACCATGACTGCTGAAGTTGGGATCCCCTCTGGGGCAAGCTGGGGCAAACAGAAATGGCCTAGGACCCTGTTGGCAGCCGCAAGCCCCACAACCTGTATCTGCTCAGCATTCCCCTTGGGACTCATACTTCCCTCCATTAAGAAGATCCAGTCCACTAGTCCAGCTCCGCATCAGGGGTGGGGCGGAATGAGAGGCTCACTAAGCGACACTCACACTGGGCGCTGAAGAATCCTGAGCTTGGGTTGAGGGCTCTAGCCAGACTGAGACTGTTCTAAGGGTGGAGGGTCCCACCCCCAGCTCCTCAGGGCCTGCCCTCCCGCCCACAGAGTCCAACTCTTCACGCCTGCCCAGGCACATAGCCTTCCCAGGATCAACAAGGCCATGTCATAAATCCGGGAACATTCTGCAAAGGTATGAAGCGATAGTGGCTGAGGTCAGCCTACAGTTTCCTTGCCAGGGATGGGGGTGGGGGCCTTTCTGAGGGTTATGTACCAGGATATAGGCAGATTTATAGGAAGGGAATGAGAAAAAGCAGAACAGGATCTGACCCTTTTTTGTTGGAGCAAGACCGAGTATGTTTGTAAGGTCTCATTAGGGAATTGGCTAATCCTGAGAGAACAGAATCGGGATCCAAAGAGATCTAGACAGGCCTGAATATGACATACCAGTGTCCAGCTTGTACCGGTGCAGAAAGAGCCAATGGCAGCTCAGGCTGCATCAACAGAGGTCTATAAACAGTAATAGGAATGAACAGTCCTGCTCTGCCTCCTGCCCAGGCCACCTGGAGTCCAGCACACAGTGACCAGCACACAGTGACCAACTGGACCAAGACCAAGGGTAAATTTCAAGGTAGGAAAAAGCCTAGAGACCCTGTCCTGTGAGGATGGCCTGAAGGAACTGGAATTATACTACCTAAAAGACAGACTCAGGGACCCCATTACTGCCTTCTTGTCTCTGTAGAGCTGACTTGAAGCCAGGAAGAGAGAATAACTTTGTGGTTATCAAAGCAGAACCAGGGGCAGGGCATTGGTTCACCAGAGAGTGTATGTTCATTCTAAGAAAGAGCTTCTTGGGGTCCAGCATATGGCATAATGATTACATTGCTGGACTGCGACATACTCAGTCATGGTTTGAGTCCTGGACCTAGTGGTTTAAAACTCACACTGGGCCTGTGCACGTGGTTGCCCAAAATCTCAAGAAGAGAATGGCAGAGAAGTGATTGCAGCATGGCCATCCCCTCTGGTGGATGATTTCTCGCTTTCTGTCTCTCTCTCTCTCCAGCGAGTATAAGAGCCCTATAGCAAACATCTCTCTCAAAAAATAAAAAAGAAAGAACTTGCTAATTCTTAGTTACTAAGAAACCTCCTTAAAATAGGCAACCTGGGGAGGAAGGAAACTCTTCCATTACCAAGGATGTACAACCAGAGTCAAAGTCACCAATTATAAGTCTGTCAAACTAGGTTGTTTTTATTAACAAACAACAGTAATTTTTATTAATAACTTTTTTGAGTGAGATTTTTGCTATAGGGCACGTGCGCTCACCAGAGAGACAGCAAGCAAGAAATCACCCCTCAGCTCCCCAGAAGGGATGGCCATGTCGCAATCCCTTCTCCTCTATTCTCCTCTCAGGATTTTCAGCACATACACACACGTGCCCAGTGTGAGTTTTAAGTCAGCAGGTCTGGGATTCAAGCTGCAGTGAACTATGTGAGAGTCCAGCAATATAACCATTACGCCAACTGCTGATCCCCATAATAAAATATTTTAATTTTTTCTTAATAATAAAATATTTGAGGACCAGCAGATAGCATGATGGCTACATCTCTGGACTCCCATGTAGTCGACCGTGGTTCAAGTCCCAGACCCGGTGACAAACTCACGCCGGGCGAATGTGCGTGCGTGCCCAAGATCCCAAGAGGAGAATAGAGGAGAAGGGATTGCAGCGTGGCCATTGCCCCTGGGGACTGATTTCTTGCTTTCTGTCTCTCTGTCTCCCTCTGTCTTTTTGGCAAGCACACGTGCCCTATAGCAAAAACCTCTCCAAAATAATAATAATAAAATGTTGGGGCCGGCAGGTAGCGTGGTGGTTAGGGGTGCTGGACTCCCACATGGCTGACCATGGTGCGAGTCACAGATCTGGCGGCCAGCTTTCTCACTTTTTCTCTCTGTCTCTCTCTCTCTCTGTCTCTCACTCTGTCTCTCTCTAGTCAAATTAAAAATAAATAAATAAAATGTTATTTCACTAGAGTTTGCCATTCCTGGGATACTCTAGAGTGGGAAATTCAGAGTGTATATGAAAATCCCCTAGTATTGGGACTAGCAGATGGCGTAATGGCTATGTCACTAGACTCCCATGTCGTTGACTGTAGTTCAAGTCCTGGACCTGGTGGCTTAAACTCACTCTGGGCATGTGTGCATATGTGTCTAAGATCTCAAGAGGAGAATGGAAGGGAAGGGATTGCAATGTGGCCATCCCTCCGGGGGGGTGATTTCTCGCTTTCTCTCTCTGTCTCTCTTTCTGGTGAGCGCATGCACCCTATAGCAAAAACCTCTCAAAAAAAAAAAAAAATCCCCTAGTGGCTCTAATAGGGTAATCCCAAGGAGTGGGGACAAAATACTCATAGGGCCTAATATGATTCAAAAGGGCTAGGTACCCCTCCAGCAACTAGCTATGCCTTAGTTCCCTAACTAGTATGCCAAGATGGGTAATAGGTATACAAAATATGCTGAGGTTTTTGATCCTATTAGCCCTTGGGGTCAGCCAACGGCAATAAGAGCCTTTTCGGTTTAATTCCATATGCTGTAAAATGTCATTTTGTTTGGACTATGACTGCCTTATCCATGCCTTCCTTTCCCAGGGAACTGGGCTGGGGAGGTCCTACCCATTTATTCAACTAATACTTTCTAGATCAGATGTAGTTCCTACCTTCAAGGAAACCCTGGCCTGATGGGGAACACAGACACAAACATGATATGGTAAAACTGTATGAGAGACAACATAAAGAACCATACGTATCAGAGGAAGGGCTAATTAAGTTTGCCCAAAGGAGGCTAAAGAAGACTGTTTAGAGGAAGAGACAGTTGGGCAGGGTAGGATGAACAGAAGTTGGCCAAAGTAAAGGAATATTTGATGTATTATCTGAGATATGTACTAGGTCAGAAAACAGTGATCCTACCCTCAGGTCACCTGGTCACTCTCTTTTCTCTGGTCCTGTTCCTTCTGCTAGAGCCCAGCCTAAATCTCATCATGCTGGTGCCCACAGTTCAAGGTCCAGGTCTACCTACTGACTAATCAGGAGGAGGGAAAAGTTCAAGTCATATGAACCAAACAAGTGGGCCTCCACCCCATACTCCCAGTTAGACCTCACTGCTAAATCCTAGCTCTTTCTCTGGAGCAGATGCTCTTTGTAGGAATGTGGGGACCCCGGAGCTCTCTCTGAAGCAAGTCACAAAGGCACCCCAGAGCTCTCTTCAGGAACTCTGCCTCATTTCCACCTACAGATTCTAGGCCACCTTTATCTCCTACTTCATCTTCTAACCTGACAATCTCTTCCTCTTCGCTCTTCTGCTCCTTATCCTTCACACTCCACAATCCACTTTTCCATCCTTCCTCTATCTAGAGCTCTATACCAGCGCTGAAAAGGACAGAAATTATCAGCCTCACTTTAGACATGGGGAAACTAAGGCTTGGTCCCTGTGTCCCAGGTAATGCAAAGTCAGTGTCAGAGCTAAGAATGTAACAGAGGTCAACACAGGTTTCACCCCATTTGGCCCAATAGCCTAAAGAGAAAGAATTCTTACATTTTTCCATTTGACCCAGCATCTCATATCCCTGTTCAGATGATAAACAGTCATCCACAGAACTTCAGAGGGCATGGGACCCACCCAAGAACATGTACACAAGCCCATAATCAGGTCCCCATACAGACAGGAACAAGTTTTTTGGTTTTTTTTGTTTGTTTGTTTGTTTTTTGTCAGAGAGACAAGGAAGGGGTGAGGGAGAAAGTGCCTGCCATGGGGAATGGTCACACTGCAATCTCTTCTCAATTTCTCTCCTTCTGGGATTTGGGCACACATGCACACATGCCCGACATGATTTGCTTTCTTTTTGTTTTATTTTGTTTTTTTTTTGAAGCTATCAAATCCAGGACTTGAACTGCGCTGTCAGCCATGTGGGATCCAGCTCCCTTGCCCATTAGCCCAATGGCTGGCCTGATATCATTTCTCTTATATACTTACTGCACTCAAGTCATCACATACCATCACATCCCTCAGAGTCACACATGCACACACATATACAGAATCAAACCCCCTGAAGACAGGTACAAGTCCACAGTGCCACAATAAAATGCCCAATGCCCCCAGCCCAGTCCTATTCTCCTTCCACCACCCCCTCCAAAAAACCATAGATGTCTTGAATCTGCCCCTCCATAAAGTAAGAATTGGGCTCTGGGTTCAGGGTGGGGGGCAACTTCAGTGTTCCCAGCCCCTAGAACCTTCATGGAAGGTGGACGGAGACTAATTCCTGAGGTCTCAATTTGTTGGTAGCCCCCCAGCAGCTCAGCGTGTTTGATAGACCCCACTGGAGAGCTAGCTAATGCTGTTAAAATAGAATCGAGATCCGAAAAAAGATTCAGATGGGGTGTATATAAGGAATCAGTCCCCCCAAGCCCTACCCCACAATGTGTGGCCGTTGTCTCCTTGAAGTGGAAGAGCAGGGACCAGAGGATGCAGAAGAGGAAGGCGACAAGTGGACAGCAGACCGTGACCAGGGCCACCAGGGTGAAGCGGAGCCGGACCAGGGTCCCATCCCGGTCCAGCGGCAGTGGGACCTGGTACATCTTGTCAGACCTGGGGATGGAGTGGCGTGCTGTCAGGGCCCCAGGCAGTAGGACTGGGAATCGATGGTGAAGTCAGCGCTTGTTCTCAGTCCTAAACTTAGCTGTGCTATGGGGTGGGGAGTCTGAGAAGGAAGCCACTTAAACTTGGACAGCTCCTGCCCTGGACAAGGAAGAATGACTTAGAATCCCAGGATAATAACCTCAATTTCAGAGGGGAGACAATGAACCAAATCTGTGCTAAATAAAGCACATTCCAGTACATTGGAATACCTTTTACTCACTCCACTGCCTGGCTCGACAGGTCTGGGACTACAGAAGCTGTTTAACTGGTTTCTCCTTGTTTGGAGAACCTAAAACCTACCCGTGGTCTGAATGGCCTTTCTCCTCTCCCAGGCCTCTGAGTCTCAGGCCCTGCTTCCAGGCTTCAGGGCCTCTCATCAGCTCAGCACTTCATCCACCAGCCCAGGGCCCTCCTGCACCTTTAGTCCCCTCTCAGGATCTGTGTGCTCTGTTTGTCTGCACTGTAGTCCACAGCAGCGGGGACTCCATGGAAGCCAAAAGAACCTGGATGCCCTGCTTGGCCCTGCTTGGCCCCACCTGCTGCCTCATGTGCTCTGAGGGTGAAAGGCTTTGCAGCATCAGGCCTGGCATAAGCCTGGGCTTGCTGTTTGAGAGAGTTGCTTGGTCAGCTTCCGGAGGCTTCTCAGTGCCTGGGGGACTGTGCACCCCTATCCTGAGACTAGGTGATGGCTCCTGAGCACTGTGACCTCTCCCACAGACAAGAATATTGAAGGTCAGCAAGTATAATAGCTAAGTATGCCCCAACAATCCTAGCTCAGCCTCCCTCAGTATATAAGAGAAGCTGAGGGAGGCTGGAATCTGCTCAGGGTCACACAGCAAATAGATGAAAGAGCCAGGAGTAGGGAGATTGCGTGGCCTAAGAAGTTACACACTGTAACTTTGGCCTTCCTTGACTCCTTCCTCTACGGGTCAGAGCTCTGGGCAGAAAGGTCAAATTAGGACTGGAGGGAAAAAGGGAGGAATAAAAGGTAAAACCAAATCCTACAGAGCTGAGTTCATCAGTCATTCTCCTTGTGAAGACAGAGAAACCAACACACAGAAAGCCTGTTCTCAAAGCATCGTGCAGAACCTGAGGAAAAGCCATCTCTAGAACTTAAGACTTTTGTTGCCAATCTAGGGTTGACTCCAAATACATAAAAGAACCTGCATTAAAAAAAAAAAAAAAAAAAAAAAAAAGAACCTGCCTTTCTGGTTTCAAAGGCCTTGCCAAATCAAGTCCCAACTCTTCCGAGTTCCACCCTCAGTATTCTCTAGTTCCACCCTCAGGAAGAACCCTGGCCTCAGTTAAGACCAGCCTCCCGGCATTCCAGAATATGCAGGAGGACCCACCTTTGGATTTTCATCCATCTTCACCCACCCACCTCTCTGCCAGGCTCAATCAGGCAGCCTGCCCTAACTGTTCAAGTTCCTTTTTCTCTTTTAGGAGTCAGGGATCTCACCGGAAATTTGGAAGTGGCTCTAGTGGCCCTCCCAGATCAAACACATAGATCATCCCTAAATGGGTTACAAGTCCTCCAGGACTCTAGGTCAGGAGCACTTTTCCCACCCAGCACACACCCGCAGACCCGGCAATGGCACCAGCTCTAACCCCTTCTCCCCCCTCCCAATTCCCACCTGAAGTCAGCTATTCCAGATCCCTCAGGAACCCCTAGGATTCCTAACTAAAGACCAGATCTCTAGGGACTGAATAGGCACTCCTCAAAGCAGGAGGGTGATGGGGAGGTTCAAGGGAGAGCCTGTTACACTTCCAGGAGGTGTGCCTGGTCTTCCTTCTAACAAGGGTTTAGAAAAGGCCTCTCCACCAAAGAAGGAGCTCATAGCCAAGGGCAAAGGTGCAGCCCTCAGACAGCTCTGACGTCCTCCCAGGTTCTTAGGTGAAAATAGCTTTCTGGAAGTATTTCCGCCTCATCTCCAAAGTCCCTGGAGATCTTCTCAGCCTCCAGTCCTAATCCACACACTGGCACCCTGAGCACTGGGCACCCTGCTCCATGCTTGACATACTATACATTGTGTTATGAATCTTCATATGAGATACGCTAAAGTCTCTATATTTTTTCCATTTTACGGAAGAAAAAACTGAGGTTCACGGAGGTTCAAAACACTTACACAAGGTCACAGGCTAAAAACTGGCAGGGCCGGGACTGTATACTATTTTATGGGGTTCCAGAGCCCCCTGCATCTCCATCTTCAGCACCTACGGGGAATCTTGCTCAGGAGGTCCCTGTGGATTGAAGAAGGGAGAGATCTAGCACAGCGTACTCAGCACCATGTCGCGGGCCGGGGAGGGGGGAGTGTCAGCACAACGAGCCCAGAAAGCAACCGCGCTGGGATCGAGTACCTGCCGGAGGAGGGCTGGCACCAGGACCCCGAGAGCTTGGGGCCTGGCCCAGCGGAGGCCAGACCGCGTGGCCGAGCTCTCCCCCAGTAGGCTGCCCGGCGGTCTGGCACACCCATCCCCGTACTCACCCTGGCGGTGGTGGCGAGGAGGCCGCTCCAGCCCCAGCCCGGAGCCGGCAAA